CCGTCAGACAGACCGTAATACTTATATTAATGTGGGCTACAAATATTGTTTATATAATTACATCACCCACGGTAACTAGCCTATGAGCCGCGGTTAAGATACTAAACGCCTGGGCAATATTTCTTTAATGTGGGTTAGTTTTTATAAGACACAATTGAAGTGATTGTGGTAATAGTGTAGTGATTTTGGTGATGATGAAGATTGTGGTGATGGTGAAATGATTGTGGTGATGGTGAAGTGATTGTGGCAAAATGATTATGGTGAAGTGATTGTGGTGAAGTACTTAAGTATTTAAGTGGGTGAAAGGAATCAATAGAGGAGATATAGATAAAGTTCTTATAATATCCGAGCAGGATAGGACTCGTAGCATCAGATTTAAATTGGATAAGTTTAGGTTTAGGAGGGAGATAGGAAGGAACTGGTTCACAAACAGGGCGGTGGACACTTCACCACCACCCCTATAAACACTTCCTCACCACCACCACTATAAACACTTCCCCACCGCCACCACCACAGACACTTCCACCACCATTCCTCCACAGTGACCAACTGATGTACTCAAGATGGATCTGCTTGTTCCTGGCTACAATATTTGACTGTCAGGTGAACAAGGTAACACCGCCTCTTACACTGAGATCTAAAACGCTCATAGAAATCGTGTTTGGTTTAAACAAGATAAAATTATGAAATCACGAAAATATGGCAGCAGCCCATCTTATATCACCTGAAGATTAACTACCCTAACACCCCCCCCCCCCACCAAAAGTGGTACTTCTGTGTATAACAAGTAAATTCTGATTGGGTGCCTAATCTTCACGTGGTGGGTAATGTCGAGCTGAGTTTGGCTGCGCTGAGTGGTTAGTTGCTTATATTGTTACATACGTTTTAGCCTAAAAGTGCTGTTTACATTTTGTTCCCGACAATCATAGACCACTTAGAACACTTATGAATACACCAATGAAGACTGAAGGCATAATGTACACAGTTGAGACATCTCTATTACGCCGACTGGGAACAACCACTTAAAAGGTTTGATCATGGACACGATTAGGTGTTAATCTAATGTTCATAATCCTCTAAAGCCGTGTTAAAGGACTCCGTATAAATGCTAAACCGGATAATGGTCTAGGGGAGAAGGTCGGGTTAATCAGCGTGGGTGGTCGCCTTGTTCTGGTACCTAACCTTAAACTCCTACAACCAAATCACGTTGAAATGGATTTCTACCCCAGTGAAGCTGTCAAGATCATTCAGTATAATTAAGTCCCAGCCATCAACATTTCTATACAATTAATGGGCTATCGAATTGACGTAGATTGAGAGAGAAATAAGTTGTAAGGGAAATATACACAGCGACATACCTTATATTTTTCAACACCAACACACACATGATGGCGTCTGTATTTTATAATCCTTGACAACTGGATGTATTAATTTAGGAGCATTTTGTAAACGTTAACTTCCGTCACACATCCACTAATCGCCTCGACCGTCTCACTACTGGCCGGCTCCCTCCCTCCACGTCTGGCTGTCCCTGGTATAAAGTTCATCCACATCTCCACCACACACTGAACCATCTCCAGTACGAACATACGCTCTTGTGGTGTTGAAGCACATGATATAAAGCGTCACTTGCGAACCTTAGTAATAACACTTAATCGGATGGCTGGCGTGGCCATATTTGTTTTGCTTAATTTGACACCATAAGAAAGTACAGATACCTTCCAAAATGACAACTGAGAGCTCGACTCCCAGACACTGAACCACCCGATCGAAACTTATATCTAACCGACGCTCTTGTAATGACAAGGAGCGGATATTACATGTAAATGTTCACTAACAGAAAAACTGAGTTGCTTCTGCAGGAAATAATGGGAAACGTTTTTTATTCAGCTGATCAACAAAAATCACAGATGGTTCAGAGAAATGTGGCTCCAAGCTCGACTCCTGATTCAGCGCTTCGTTTGTGGTGACCAGCCACTCAGAACTCATGATACAAACGACAGGTTGACATATTCCCATAGGTAGAGGTTCTGCATGATGAATACATTTTGAATAAATTACACGTAATGTCATGTAGATAATCAGAATTTATTGCATATGTCAAACAAAGATTTTTATTTGGTATATTACAATATATTTATTTTTATGAGAAAATCTACAATATGGCGTAAAAGAACCGAAATAACCACTAATGTGTGCCAACTGACACTGCTGGTAGTCAAGGCGGGCGGGGGAGAGGGCTCAGGGGTGGTAATGTGTGGTGTGTGTGATGATAGATGATGATGATGATAATGATGGCGTGTATGTGATGACGACGATGATGATGAATGATAAATAATGAATGATGATAATGATGGTGATGATGATTGATGCTGCTGAATTATCCCCCGTTATTATAAGACAATTCATCATCACTACAGACACACTTGGTTTGATTTACAGTGGTGAGGTTAGGTTAGGTTTCATTTCACCCCACATTATGGCTTCGTCCCCGTGCAATAATAACCTAACTCAGAGTTCCTCAGTTACTATTTATGAATGTTCAGTCATACTAATTCCCTCAGTGGCAAACCTCTGGATGTAAGGCTAAATATAAAATGATAATACACGCGTTGTTGCTAGTGGCGTGGTTGCTAGTGGCATAGTTACTAGGGGTGTATCCAAAGGCTGAGTATTTTTGTTTACCATATATAAGAACACCTGATATCGGGACACAAGCCATCTGGGTGGTTAGTTTATCCAATGTTGGTGCAGGCGAAAACCGGAAATCGTGCTACGTCAGACATACATTTAAACCTATATGCTCCAACTGCCGAACACA